ATAAAACGTCGAATCCCGGGGGTTGCGCGGGGAGATCCTCGTGTGTCAGCCACGCGCATCGCTATAGCGGTCAGACCCCCATAATGGATGCACGAGGCACGGCTCGTTTCCTTTTCTTTTCGCATATTTTTTTTTTCACTCCTTCCACGGGCCCCTCTCTCTCTCCCGTGCCCTTTGCGTGCTCACCATTATGGGCACCCGGAATCCACCGACACGATGGAATATAAGGCAAAAGGGTGACGCCGAACGCGAATCGCAGAAACGTGGGAACCGTCGCCAGGTGATCCTTCGCCGTAAGCTCGTAAGCGTCGTGCAGGCACGAACTTTTGCGAGCCAAGGCGAAAGACGGCCACTCCGGAAAGGGGTACGCGAGAATGGAACGGCCCTCTCCGAGTCCTCGATGCTTACGCAAGGGGGTAAGATGGGGTTACAACGAATGCGCGAATGTGAGCAGATTGCGAGAAGCTGTGTTGCAATTTTATATAATATTACAATTTTATGATTATTTAAGCTATTATAATAAAATTAAATCGTTCATTTATCAAGATTTATTAAATATATAAATTGTTGATAACAATGTAAAGCGGGGTTGTTAAATATGTTTCAGACAGAAATAGAAATTAAAAAGAAAATAAAATATGAAAATCATTTCTAAAAGTCTTTTGATAATCTTACAAATTAACGATGTATAATATATTTTTTTACGTATCTCATATATAGAAAAATAATCATCACAAAGATATTATTCAGGGTAAATTGAATCGAAAACTTTACCTGAACGAGTCTTCTATTGTAAGATTTTTTTCTTTACGTGTGTCCAGTACACGACCTGATTCCCAGCGATGGAACCCACTGACCCAATTCGTATCAATAGGATACTTTCGTTTTACGATCGGGATTTTCAACTATTGTGCCAAAGATGTTCGTGTTACTTTCGCTGATGTGGTTGTACCGTATAAAGTTTCAATCATATTTTCTATCTCTCTTTCTCTCTCTTCTTTTTCAGCCCTTTTTTATTCTTGAAATCAATTTTTAGTTAGCGAATAGCTAAAACCATTTAAATACTATTAAAATAACATCAAAAAATAGAATTAAGTAAAAAAATAAAAATTTGTAGAGCTGACGTTTTATTTCCAATTACTTCTATTTATAACAACCTGAAATTGCCATGTTATACTCGAGTTTTGATAAAAAAATTTACTGCGGAAGTATTTTGTCCAAATGTCATTTTTTTGGAAGAAACAAATGGTAGAATGCTATAAATGATGCCGGTTATGCGAGACAGCGCGTTTTTTTATTGAACTCCCACGGAAACGAGTTATATTTTCCTGCATTTACAATGTGTGTTTCCCGAGAACGATAATCCAGATGTCGTCCCATCGACCCCACGCACGCATTTTTTGAGCCGGTTTGCATGCTTTGCCGCCAATAATATAAGGGGTTGGTTCTATATATATCCGTATTATATTTCGTATATATAGTACATATTTTATGTTCTCGGATTTTAATTCCTTACTATTTCGAGAGAACCTGTAATATATTTTTCCCGTGAAATATATAATTGATGCAAAAATTGAACAAATTTTCAAGTTTTAGAAGGAATATTTTTGTAAAATTAGGCGAACCATCTTTGAGAGATTTATTACTACCGGAAATGAAGATTTCGGCATTTAAGAATAACGTTTCCTTCCTGTGAGATCTTATGGCTGCGTGGGTGCAAGCTGCAGGTGCATCCCAAGATGATCGAACCTCAAAAACAGGAGGACCGGGAGGATGGGCGTTCCAAATTTAAACCATGGTGTGCCTTCTTGATTCTTCTCGAGAAGTTTGTGGTCAAGTCGAGTATTCCGGGCTCTCAGCCTCTCGGGGTTAATGAGAAGGTCGCGACATTTGACCGAACGCCTTCCGTTATGACAGCTAGGCTGGAATATTTATGGGAAATTATGGATCATGGGAAAGAGAGAATGGATCTTTCTTGCGAATAAATATAGCGAAGCGTTTACGCAAACTCTGTTTATTCGATATTTATTTGAATCCACATATAATTATTTATTTTGTGAGCGAGGACAAATAAAATTAATATTTCTGGATATATCTGTGAATCATTAATTCATATCTTTTACATTTTATCTCTCTCGATCGATCTTTATAATATTTAATAAAATACTATTTATACATTCATAATATTTAAAAAGATATAAAAAAATTAAATATATAAAGTAAATATAAATAAAAAATATGAATAATAAATGTTTATGAACTGATTACTTTATATTTCTGTTGAGACATATGTAAAGGTTGTACAATATAAAATAATACAAATGACTATACTATATCATAGTTGAGAGATTTAAGGTCGGCATATCTTTTTGTTAAATTTCATGTTATACTTTTAAAAGTCCAAACATAGATGAAAAGAGTGCAGTCTAAAAATGAAAAAAGATTAAAAACTCTTTGCGTAAAATATCTGATTTTCGGTTCTTTTATAATTCGTTTTGACGTGTCTTTTAATGCTACCAGACTTGTCAGGGACAGAGTTGCAGTTTAGCTGATGGTATGACAAACAAAACCATAAAACATGTAATTCAAAAGGGCTTATTCTTTCTTTCAATATATAACGGAAATTCGACCTCGAATAAAATACAATAAATTTAATATCTTTTGTTACTATAGAATATAGAGAAAACATATGATAATATTAATAGTGATATTCTCTAAATAATATTATATAACAATATTTATTAATTATTATAAATTATTATTAAATTAACATTATTTTTAATCATAAAACACACATGCATAAGATAATATTTATTTTTATAAAATTAATATTATTTTTTAAATTAAATATTGAAATGATTATTGAAACGTTGACCGCATAATTAATTCGCGATAAGCAAAGTATTATTTTGATTTCCTTGCATGAATTCTCTTATTCAAATGGCAGCTGCTTGGTAATGGATCGTTATCGAATTAATACAAACACTTATTGTTAAATCAAATAGAAAAGGGTTTTTATTTGTATTGTTAAGAACTGTTTATCGAATATCTAGACAGCGAATGCGCAGAGAAGAAAGACCAAGCGGAAATAAGTGAAAAACATCTCGCCTATAGACTGGTCATGTTTATCGAGTAATCTCGTTACGTTTTGCAAGGATCACAATTTTTTAAAATGTTTAATAGTTCAATTTTGTTAAAGAGCTCTGTTGCATCTGCTAACCGCACCTGGTCGTAGACAAATAATACGACCATATAGCTAACTCACATATTTGCGATTATATCTTTATATATCGCGAATGATTGAAATGATTCTTTTATTTGTCATATAATCATCTTATTAAATTATAAATTTTTTATAATGTTTGCTATTTTTACAATAAATTTTTGCCTGTATAATGGAAAAACCTGGAGTATATTCAAAATTCGTAAAAATTTTAATAATTCCTTTAATATATCAAATAGATTATAATGAATTTTTCAATATCTACGGTTTAATTTTGGTTAATATGTTACAAAATAGTTAATTTTATTTTCGTGTTGTGTGATTGCATCACCGTGAAATATATTTTCAAAGTTTATAGCAATATACATATACATAGTTAGAAACATGAGGAAATAAATCAACTCGAAGGACCTTCACGTATTTTAAATGCTGAAAACTCGGAATGACCTGTGAGGCACGAAACCAAACGCAAAAGTTTTACAATACAATAATTGCGTGTCATAAAAATTTATTGCGCTGGTTATTGCTTCCTTGAATGAGCCGTGACAGATTCAACAAAAAGAAACTCGTTGCTTGCAAATCATTTGACGTATATATATATATATATCCACATAGCTTCTAAAAATACATTTTTATGAAGGCATCGTTTTTTATAATTTCGTTTCTCCACCCTTTTTGGATAAAAATAGCACGTATTAATTGTCAAAATTATTGTAATTAAAAATAATTTTATTACGTTTAATATATATAACAGTTTTTATATATTAATATTATATTTTTAGTATATATAAAATTTAATTTAAAATTTTTATACAAATAAAAATTTTTCTCTATATAAAATATAAAGAAAAATATAGATATATACATATGTACATATTGCATATCTCTCATTTTATGTTTTACATTTTACAAATAGCAACACGCTAGTGTCAATAGTCAGAACATATCACACTGCGCTAGCAGTAGCAACTTTGTACAGGTAAATAACAGTGCATTTTAAAACAATTCCCACGTGAAGGACCTTGCGCTCTCTCGTATGCACCCGTGCATCGGATCGCGTTGCGCGCGCCAGCCACACTTATGACGTGCGCATATGCACGCACATATACACATTGGCACGCAATGTTTGCCCTTCTCTGTCAGATGATACTCTATTGCATGCCTTTGTGCTTTACCGCTTCTATAGTCGATACACGTTATACTCGATCCCTCCTCATCGGCGTTCGCACCCAGACAGCAGCAATTGATTGAATCGCTTCTGAAATATTTCATTTAGCATTAGAATTTTACATGTCATCATTAGAATAGAGATAGAAAAATGTCTATACGTATACGTTTTTGCATCTGTTTGTAAAATAATATGTACATGAGAATTGTAACGCATATGTCATTTTTTACTTTAAAAAGAGAAGTGTAAATTATGTGATAATACAAGAGAGAATTCATTTATGAAGGGTAACAATTACAACGTTAATTATAATATCAATGCAAAATAAATTAAATGTATCGCTTTCGTTAAATGTTGCCGATCGCTCAAATTGCTTTCGATATTATCTTCACAGGATGTAGCCTAAATTTAAGTGACTATGTTGCACGAGGTAGTATATCCTGCAGACGGCGTGAATTCCCACACATCAACAGGTCTCAGGAGGGCCGAGGACTTCCCCACCTTTAGGGTACCCAAGACCCCACTCCGGGGCGCATTTTGCCCCACTCCAATATATACATCGGCATGCGGTCTTCGAAATCGAAAACGTCAAACAGTTTCCCTCAACATCCCAAGCGGGACGTCCATCAGCAACGATGGACTTCCCTAGCTTGGTATAAAGTATTTGAATGTTCGAATGGTGACCAGGCACGTCATCGAGCCTGCATTTCAGTGTTTTTCAGTGCGATCGTTCAACTTTGACGTTTTGTGCGTTGCAACTGTATGAAACTAATCAATCAAGATAATTATCAAGATTAACAATTAATTGCGGATATAAAGTGTGTTTGCGCTCGAGCGAAAGTCATGCTAGTCAGAAAGCTTGCTTGAGTGGTGGATTACTATACTACAAAATGTTGAACAGCGAGGAGGAATTTGAACCTCAAACGCAGTCAGGGATGACGAAAGCGGAACTGAGAAGGGTAATGAATGGGTTTTATTATCAGATAAGAGATTGATAGTTTCATTGTTGCATAAAAAAATTTATCATGTCGAGAAAGAAAAATTAATTTATTAATATACTGATATATATTTTATTTTTGAAGTTAATATAGTATAATTAGTGAATCTATCATTAATTAATTAGTATTTTGAGAAATGTTAATTCAATTATTTCAGAGCAACAAACCCATTATGGAAAAACGACGGCGTGCTCGAATTAATCAATACCTCGATGAACTGAAGAATTTTATACTCGTTAACGAAAAAGACGTAAGTCATTATTTCATTTCTGATAACTTTTTAATAATAAGAAAACTAAAGTTTTTATCTATTGTCGTTTTATAATAGGAAGTAAAATATAATCGAAGAAAAGGGATAGTTAAATCGGAGTTATTTCGTAGCATTAGATATTAATACTCTTTTTAATCTTTCAATATTTAAACATTAAACACTACATTAGCAATTATATCAGCAACACGTTCAAATGATAACACGAGACTACATACCAATGAGTGTAAGAATGATTTTTGTTTGCACTTGTGAAAGCACGTTGCCGGCGCCGTATTACATGTCGTAAAAAAAAAACGTGACTTCTACGAGTTTATCTAGAGATGTAATTCGTTTTACGAGAGATAACACAAAAAAATGTGCTACTTCTGATTGTTCGAAGAACGTTTAGAACATTTCCACATAACATTTACAATATATAATTACTTTTAAATTTTTAATTCATTTTTAAAAATTTTTATTGTCTTAATTACCTTCCCAAATTGTCATGGCCACGTGATCAAGTTTTACAAAATTCCATCTAAGCTATAGATAAAGATTAATTTTTTTTATTATCAAGTATTATACGATAAAATTAAAACACTCGAGATTATATATAAAAGTCAAAGTAAAATTATGCATTCCTGTCGATCTGATATTTAAAAATGTAATTTTTCTTACGATAATATATATGGAGCTCAGTGCGAGTACATATGCTGAATTAACTGATTATTGTGTGCGATAGCGGAAGTTGTCATAACGGATGTATATTGGATGTATTTGATCAGGTTGTCCACTATGGACCCCTTTTTTCCCTCGGCATCCTCTGCGACAGGATCTGTTTTAGACCTGAGTGTTGGCCATAACGAGGTATATATGTGTGTCTGTGTGAGAGAAGCGGGGAGGAAGAAAGAGGATAGGTTTTGTTTTAGTATTTTAGAGATGCCTCCGCGTGGGAACGGATGGGACTCGATCCCCAATAACAGCGTGTATATAATCTGCTCTACAAATTTTACAATGGCATTCGAACCGGTTAAAAGAAGCGACGAAGAAACATTTAAGAGAACGTCCAATTACCGCGCCCACTCAAAATTAATTTACTGAGTTATAACTTCCGGAATCATATTTGTCATTTTTCAATATTGTTGAGTCGATAGCGATTTCATATTTTGGAAGTAAGATTTATTTTCGAATATAAAAATTATTGATAAAAAAACAGCTTAAATGTATGATACGTTTAAGTATGATTAAGTAAGTTTAACGCAAATTGAGGTGCAAATAAAGTAAAAAAAAAAAAAAGGAAAGAAAATTGGATATCGATTAATTAGGAGTTATTTCACTTCTTTTCCGAATCAAAGATTCTGCGTTACGTAATATAGTAAAACATAATGAAATTGATTTCTCAAACCGGCATATAACAAGACAAGACGCTCTCACCATTTTCTCTCTTTACTCTCGTCCAGATGACTTCCGCTACCTGCTCGCTTCGGTGTGTCCGTCCCGTTCGTACGAAACGCCCCCGCATGTTCGTGGGAACGTCGAAATAATTATTACCAAGAAAAAAAAATCTCATCTCAGGTTGCTGCTTCTCTCTTTGTTGACCGTATCATCTTTAAGGATCCAGCTCCGATCCGCGACGACGGATCGGCGAAAAAAAGGGAAGATGCACAAGGCCTCTGCCTTTTTTTCTTATTCTTAGTCCTTTAACAGGTGCCACTTCTCCGCTTTTAAGCTCGGGTGTCAAATTCTCATAGAAAAATCGATATCTGCGATTTTTCTTCTTTTTTTACAATATTTCGTTTTATTACATTCCTATAAAATCAATTATTCTATAAAAATTACAAAAGATTTTTATGATCTACAATGTATAAGCGATTCTTTGCTGACTCCCACGCCTTATTCTCATTCTTCAAATGATCGCAAATTTACCATAAAAATGTGATCGGGATGATCCGACAGGATAAGATTCGAAGAATAGGACACAATGGACCCTTGAAAAAGGACAACGATACTATACTTATTTATTGAACTAGCTAAAGGGCTGGGAATTTCGACAGTATAAGGTCGATTCGGGAAAGGTCACGTCCATCAGGATATCCGAAAATCTTTGTGGGATATTTTCAAATCGCTTCTCACGATATTAGATTAAATACTGATATAATTAAAAATTATTTAAAAATAACATAAAAAAATAATTAAATTATTTTATGCAAAGTATTTTTTATCATCGATGGATTAGTTATACGTTTTGTATGCGGTTGCGAAAAGCAAATATCCCCGAGCAATTCACGCGTGACTTGGATGAAATAGACTAATGATCTATTGCTTGCGGTTTAATAACAAATCTAGGTGAATGTGGTGTGAACTGCCAGCCCTTAGGCTGACTATAAAATAGGTCGCATTAGCTACTATAGTTGCTAGTCTGTTATTACGAGAGCGGTTTACATCAAGTCAATTACGTAGGCGTGTCGCGTCATCGTAGATTTCTTCAATAGAGGATCAATAACCCTCGCTTGACAAGAAGTCAAGTCCCGCAGGCGATGATAGTTACTGTGCTTCGAATAAGAAGAAATCTCATTCTAGCTTTCTCTTACCTATATTGCCTCTTACCATACAGTATCTCCAATTCGCTTCTGTAGATAACGCAGAGCTTGCTTCTGTACCGATGTATGTTATCCTTTCTAACTTTTCGAACGAAGAGTTATTTCTTTCCAAGTATTCGTGTTTCATCAATAAAATAATAACGCAATTTTGTTTTACATTATCAATTATTCATATCGATATTTTTATCAATTTTTTTCCTTGTTACAGCCAACTAGGCATTCGAAGCTCGAGAAGGCCGATATCCTCGAAATGACGGTAAAGCATATACAAACGATGCAACGACAGCATTTGAGCGTAGCCGTCTCCAACGATCCGGTGGTGTTAACGAAATTCCGCTCCGGATTTTCCGAATGTGCCACCGAAGTATCGCGATACGTCAGTCGTCTGGAGAACGTCGACCCCGCCGTAAAGCAACGATTGGTATCACACTTGAACAGCTGCGTGGGTCATCTCCAGCAAATGGCTCCATTCTACAGTCACTACGTACCCTACATGCCGGAGCGCCTCTATCCGGAGGTAAAGGTCGGTTTTCAGAGCGATTTCCAGAATGGAGACGAGAATAACAACGGCAGCGCGAGAATACAGATACCGAATGGAGTGCAACTGATCCCGAGTCGATTGCCGAACGGCGAATTAGCACTCTTGGTGCCGCAATCCGCCGGTATCTCTGCCAATTTTCCTTTCTTTCCCCGGCCACGGATTCATCCGCGAAAAGCGGTCAATCCTCGGCATTCACCGCGGTTCACAGATCGCATAGTCCATTGTTGAGTCCGTCGACCTCTACATCGAGCTACGGTGACGAGGGTCATCATTCGGAACATCCACAGGCATCGTCACCTAATCATCATCAGCCGCAACGTCGATTCAAGTTACCGGAACAGAGTCCTGCGTCCTCTTCGAAGAGCTTCTCGTCCTCTCCGGAGACCCAAAAGCCGCAAATTAGCTCAACTAGCGACCGAAAGTCTCCGGCAACATTCCTGGAACCCAAGATCGTGGACGAGAAAATGGCAACGAAAAAAGACGTAGCCGAAGATTTGGAGAGTGTTAATTATATTATAAATAGTTCTATAGCGCACGGTTTGCGACAACCACTTTCTGTAATTACAGACAAAACTTACAATCGCGCAACTTCGAATGGCTCGTTGCTCAAGAGAGACGGTCTCAAGAGACGTCATTCCGACGGGCTTTTGGCGATCTCGGATAAGAGACCGAGATATCAGGAACCTACTAGTTCGATCTCCTCGATGAATAATGCCGTCGCGCATAAGAGCACAAATGAACAGTCCGCTGCGATTTCGGCCGAAGATTTGCCGCAAAGTCAGAATTGCCAAGCTCCACGAAATTCTAATTCAGATTCCGATAAGTTCGCAATGGGTCCGGCAGATCCGTTCGGTGCTAATAGCGATATGTGGAGACCTTGGTAATTATTATTGTCGAAAATGAAAGATTGAAAGTATTTAAAAATTAAACAAAATTGAAATTCAAAAATATTCAGTACAAAGAAGCACAAATGATGAGAGAGTAGATCTTTTTAATACCTCAATCCCTATATTTTTTTTTTAAGTCTCGAAGCACAATTTACTAAGCGACAGTTTGCCATAAATATAAATTATACCATTTTACATATTTTGTCATTTCCTAACAATTTACACAAATATAATAAATGGCAGGATTGTTGCGTGATATTGTATTGCGTATTTATTTTTTATTAGTTCTATATTTTATAAATATTACGTTAGAAATATTAGTTTAGCTTATGTTAAGAATAAGTGTAAGGGTAAATAAGCTCATTACCGATAATTACACGGTTTTGTGCCAAAGCCTGAAATTATTTTTTCGAGCAAGATTATTAATGCACTCTTTGCTGCATTGTTATGTCGAATCCTCGCCTTCTCATAAAGACTCATAAGCTTTAAATAGGTTAAACGAGACTTTTTATTAAGATCACAAAACACATAATATGTGAATAGAGTTCTGTAAATATATATCTATATTTTTATTTAATTAATTAAATTCTGTATTTTAATTATAAATTATATTTTTATTATAAAAATGAAACAAAATATTACATAAGTGATTATTTTTCAATGATCTTCAATTCAACGGTGGTCAGTATTGCCAATTAACACGTTCATTGCCCCACGCGGATTTTGATTAATAAAACTTGTAAAAACTAAACAAAAGATTACATATATAAAATTTGAAATTAACAAACATATCTGTTATCGAATCAATTGTCAATCAATGATATGTTTAATTCTCTAAATATCGTTAGTTACATTTTATTCGTATATTAATGCGATGTGTCAGCATCATAGCTTGAACATCGATGACATGCACCGTCATGGCATTTAACGTGTTAAAATAGTATGTATGTATTACGAGTTTGTGATAAAAAATGTAACATTGAAATATACGATCTTTGTGAAAGACGCGATGTTTGTTACTTATTTCTGATTGATTTTATATGTATATCCATCGACGAAATAAAAAAAATAAATTTGCGGAATGCAAACCAATCTCGTGAGTGTTACAATTCTATCTCGCAAAAAAAGCTGACTCTCACATATATTCTACCAATATATTCCACGACCTCGTAAAAGCACGGAAATTTTCCTCTCTGAGAGAGCCATCGGAGGCGCTTTACCCTTTTAAGGAGCGTTAAACGCGCTCCGATTCATAAACTGGAACTTATTCTTTCCTTTTTTGCCGATAAAGGAGCAAAAAGCTGTGGAGAATGAGAATTTCAACCACCTGTTACACCGCAAAACCACCCGCGTTTTCATCGACTGAATGCTTAAACTGATTTATCGACAGAAATCGCGAACTTTGTTAAGTTCTCTTAATCTTATTCTCAGAACGTATTCTTGCGTATTCTTAACTAAAAAAATATTAATTTCTAATATGTATGGAGATAATTAAATATTTTAGTCGTAGTTAACATAACAAGAATACATAACAAAAATCAGGAAAAAATTTACGAGACATTTAACAAATTATTGTTTAATATTCGTTTTTACTTAGCTGACTTAAATAATCATAAATATGTAATTGTCGTTATGACGTTGCATTTATTTATAACTAGTTTTAATATTGAAATCCTATACAAGTTCTAGCTCTGATACTGAGATGGCAGCATTGTATATTTGAGATTACAATTTTTTATTCACAGATACAATTGTCAAAAAATGTTTGTAAAATTAAGACACAAAAATATATAAATATATTATTCACATTGCAAAAATATATCTGATACAAAAAAACCGACTTTTTTAAAACATAAAATAAACCAATTAAGATACTAGTTCAAGAAAGACTTAAACTATAGGAAAAAATTAACTCGTAATATATTCTATTTGTATCAATAGATACATAAATCTCTTTGGCATTGATATTAATATGTATATTAATATACATATATTAGCATAAAAATTAATATTTAAAATTGTAATTTAAAACCAAGTGATACTTTGTCGAACTTTGGTACTAATGGAATAAAGACGATGGTATTTTAATGAAAAATATGATATTCCTTGTAAGGAAAAATAGAATCAAGCCACCGGAAAGCAGCGAAGAGTGTACCGCGCCCGCGCTTTCTTTCTTCGATCCTTGACGGTGCCGTTCTACTGGCGCGAGGCATCGAAGTCGCCGATTCGTCCGCTCAAATTTGAGTTTAATATCACATTCTATTCGCTTCCCTTTTCGATATTCATGTACACAATGGGCTTCGCGACGCCGGTATATATAAATCTCGACTGTGTGTGAATAACTCCCGTATACGCTATATCACGAGTATAAATAATTACTGCGGCGTACAGCAATTACTATAAGTTATGGCGCAGCCGTTACAATTTGCAATGTCAAGACATAAACACTGCTACCGCTTACATTTGAATACATTAAGGCGATGGGAACCTCTGATTGGCCTGACTGGGGAGTGGTGCGGTCTCTCCTGTATCGGTACGTGAGCTACGATCTGGTTGACGATTTTTATTAGGGAAACGATCATCCCGCGGATCTCTCTTCGGCAATCACTGCCGCCGCTATTGCCGTACGTTGCAATCGCGCTGCCGCTTGATGGATCACCATTCTCTCATTCCCGCTCGCGAGTGCTCTCGCTAAAGTGGACTCGCGATTTTCCATTGATCCTGAGATATTTACGAGACGACACGGTCGAGATAATTTCCTTCTTCAATTGTTTTATGGCAATCCGTGAATCTTGTCCGCTAATCCATGGATCGCTCGCTCGATCCCAGCACTCGATACACGCTTCGCGTTTTCCTTAATTCGGACGTTTGTCGCGAGAAGAATAATTGCGCGTTCGATGATGGATAACGAATGATCTTGCAACGAATGGCAATCCAATTAAAATAGCAAAGCAGAGTATGTTAATTATTGTCGAGAGGACTCACGATATTTACGCGTAATATAGAGACAAGATATTTAAAATAAGATTGAATATTCCACTCGATGTATAAGTAAGCGAATGTTGATACAGAGAGAAATTAGAGAGGATGCCATAAATTATCGTCGCTCCGGCAGATGACATAAATGTACGACATGCAGTGTTAAGAAACAATAAATCACAGAGAGCAACCGCGATGGCAATGAAAGAGAGAGAGAGAGAGAAAGAGTCGCTTGCGATCACAGTTCTATTTTCCCCATTACTAGAATCAAGTTGGAATCGGTCGTTCCCGTACCAGCTAGTCGACCGATCTTGTCGGCCGACTCATCGATCGGGCGAAAAAAACGATCGTCGAAAGCCAACCGGGCTGTTTCCGTTGCGGTATGCGACCAGACGCGAGTGCCTCCGGGCGGCGGATATAGCAATCGCCGAGTGTTTTTCGCGTAGTTGTATTTCGATGGGCATCCGATCGCGAAAGAGAGAGGCACGGCGTCAGGTGCCGGCGCGCGAAGGGCGGAGGCCGAAAGAGGAGGATGAGGAGGAGTAGGTTCCGTCCGCGCGCGTATGTGCGGCCGCCAGGCCATTTGCCTCTGCGGTCTCTTGATTCCTAGCGACTAAATTTTCATCTGTACTCATTCAAGTTTTAATGTGTTTTTGCGGCATCAGTCATTCAAACTTAATCAACAACCGGTTACACGTCGGCGCGCGAGCGCGACCACACAGGTTCGCGCGCCCGTCGTCGGTGTACGCGCATACGGGGCGTCCGGGTGGTGCGGCCCCGTCTGTGTACGTGTGTGGGCGCGACGGAATATTGGTCGGGCGCACTGTGACGAGAGCGTATTAATTATAACTCTGGTCAGAGGAACGTCAAGAGATGCTTTCGCAGATACCTACGATAAATTGTCGGTTTACCAGCAAATCTCATTTCCAAACCCCGCCATTTTTCCGCTCGTTTATCCATGCCCAACGGGAGAGAGTATCCGCGCCACGGCGCGCCTGGCCAACGTCGCGGTATTCCCTTCTTTTCGCGTTTATATACACCGTATGTGTGTATATATATATATATATGCATGTACATATCCGGCCGCGGTGCGCGACTGTCGCATGCACAAGAGTGTGCGATGACAGCGGAAGGGAGAGCGTTTTTACCCAATAAAGTTGGTGAGCGTAATAGGAATGTCGGCATTAACGAGTTCATTCGGAGCTTATCGGGCATTGTCGGGCTGCGACGTGTCACGATAAGGATTTATTCATTTTCAAATCCATAGAATATCTTCCCCGTGTTTTTCATACGTTTGTTTTAATCGTCCCCACTGCAAGAAATTACTGTAATAATTTCCAAATAAATGTATAAAACTTGATTTATTAAAACTTATGCGTACAAATATATTTGATCTTACAATTAGAAAAATCTTGCGACGCGCGTGTAATTTCGTTCACGATTGCCTTGTAGCGACGTTTCATTTTTCACCGCATCGTAAACTTACTTATTTAATTAATCGCAGCATATACGATTATATCGTGGTGGCGGAAGGAAAAACGGAAGATAAAATTAAATCGCGCATCTAATTGGCCAATTTCCAAACATTCTTTGCACAAGCCTCGGTTACAAAGTTTTTATACGGTACACGATACCGAATTAGCTAAGCGTAGCGGAGAAGTGTCGGTGCAAGTAGTCGGAGAGACATTTATTTGGCTGTCTCTGAAGCGGTCGGGAGTTCCGCCAGTGTGGTATACTGATGCGCGAGAGCGAGTAGGAGAGATACCGTCCCTAGCGAGAAGCTGGTATATCCGATAGAGAAGGGTAGCAGAGCGCGGGGTAGTAGCAACCTTTAGGACGACGGGACAGAGAGAGGTCGGGAGATTGCCTGGCAAAAGAGAGAGAGAGAAGCTGTAGGGGAGAGATACACACAGAGAAAGAAAGGAAGATAAAGAGACTCGTTTACCACAAAACTCGAAAGAGGAACGAGGATGAGGGAAAGGTGTTGAAGCGTGACCAAGAGGAAGGAGGAGGAGGAGGAGGAAGGGAAAGGAAAACAGAGTGGGAACGTAAAGCGTGCGTATATACGTGGGCGTACGTATGTGTGCGAGCCGGCGTGGATGCCACGAACGAGAGAGAGAGTGGGAACCCCGGTGCGGAAGAAGGACAGGTGCGAGAGGTCCGGAGAAGCGAGCATGTTTTATTAAGTGCGTCGCGCGTGGAAAAAGCGCGAGGCAATTTTCAGGTGCTAAAGCGGACGCTGATAACGCGAGACCGCGTTTGAAACAGTCTGTTACACTTTTCAAGTCATTATACCGGTTGCGCGAGCGCGCACTTAGCTCGTGTGGTTGATTGCGAACTACCACTTGGAGGAGCCGAAGATGGAAAATCGGGGTGCGTTTCCCCCGCACCGCCCTCCGTAACTTGTTGCACATGTGAATTTCCATTGTATATATTTTACGATACATTTTGCAATAATATACGCTCACCGGACACAATATTACGTCAATAAGTGAGGACCGATATGTAAATAGGATTTACACGCATTTGAAAACAAAAATGTATCTGAAATATTCATTTCATCAAAAGTTTAGATTTGTTTGTGCGTAAATCAAA